GGATGTATGAGACCATCGAAGGCGATCAGTTTATTAAACCAGGATACGGAAGGTAAAATGCGTAAAGAAATCCTTTTTTTTCGAATGCAAAGATTCTAACTTTTTAAACTTTAAATACACTTCAGGCAATATTGTTCCCTTTGTGATTTCTCCGTCTTTTCTTTTGATAGATACGTGGTGGCAATAGTCTTTTCCTGCGAACATTTTCTTATTATATGTGCTGTTCTCGCAAAAGTACTTGTATCAGACCGACCAAAGTGGGTTCGTATCGCCATAGAACGAAGAAATTACCAGTTGGAAGAAGAACGCAAGACGTTGGAGAAGCTGCAAAAACTACAACTTGGACAGGATATTTTAAAATTCTAGGTTAATCATCAGAAATCTCGAATTAATAAAATGTAATTAATTTTGCGAAATACCTGAATGCCTTGGTCCAGTTTTGAAAGCTTTACTAGCACTAAGTTTGCTTTGATTACAAAATGAGACAACTAATGTCGAGAGTTGGGGTCGCCAGGGATGAAAAGCTTGAATCTATCATATGAATCACTGTTCATTGACCAGATTTTATGTGTAATTTTCAAAATTCAACGCTAATGTAAGAGAGTCGTATGTTTACATATATAACTTATAATAAATGTTAGATCGTTTCTTTCCAATATTTATATATACATGCACCGCCGCAACACTGGTGTGACTGTTATCGATCAATAAAGCTTAATATTACAATATTACAGATGTGAAGTTTTCGATCTTTTCAATCATTTTGAGCATAGCTTAGGGCTTAGTAAAATCGTGCAACTTGTTGCAGTTGCGTCGCGGAATGCAGAGCGAATGGGTGTAACCGCCTCGCGCAATAAAGTTTGTGGAAACTCCCTAGTTAGCAACACTGAAGAAAATATGTTGTGCGCAAGGTAGTAATGCGAGTAATATTCACTCTGCATTTTGCATCTTATCAGATTTGAGCTACGAGTTGAACGATTTTGTTGCCCTTGTTGGTACACCATTACATTAATGACAAAAACAAACTAATGTTCTTTATCAAGAGACCATGGTCTCTTGGCACTATTGAGTGTTCAATCATGATTCACGCGAAAATGTCATCTCCTGAAAATAAACTTATCTGTTTTGTAGACTCGTGGTTTTTTTTATCGCTGTTTTTCATTTGCGGAAGCTTTGTTCTTGCTACCAGAGGAGAACAACTGGGAACTACTTGTTCTGCTTTAAAGAAAAAAGGGGAAAATATATATGTATTTAAGGTCGTAATACTCTAGCTGAAACTTATTAATGTATGATGAATTGGTATTCTAAAGACTGCCTTTTTTGAAACAGGTCTATCAGTAGAATATTGCCAATCCCGACCCACCTTTTTTTCCCATATAAAGATGCCATGCGCGAATCACAGTTATCAATGAATTTTTTCAGATAAGGACCATACATCCAGACCTAGTGCTGAAGCGCAGTATGGCAGCGCGAAGCATTTACGGCTATGCCGGAGATTTCGGCCCCGACACCGCTATCCAGTGACTGATCAGGAAGCTCGGCCAAAGCCTAAGGGAAAGGTTAGTCGGCCCCTAGACCGTGTGTGATTAACCCCTTGCTATGACCAGCGACTTGTAAATTTCTTACTAAGGTGACCAGTTTCGTATGAGCGTTTTGTTCCGTGTGGGAGGAACGATTTTAGATTTTACGACATGCGCGTATTGGATGGTATTCTAGTTTTCACGTCTACATACCAAGCTTTTGAGTAGTACTTTTATTTTGTTCTCTTGAACCCATTTTTCTAGATCGAGCAGACCATTCTCTTTCTTTCAAGTTTTTTATGGAAGACGCTGGTGATGCTGAACATGAAGGAACCGTCATTCCAGGAGTTGAAGGGGCTGACTTTGGCGTACGTCCTAAAATGAAAGGACCATACATTGTTTAGGAAATATACTTTATACATTTTATGGTGCATTGTAGCTGCTGCTGCTGCTGCTGCTGCGGCTGCTGTTGTTTTTGTTGATGCGTTGTTGTTGCTGCTGTTGTTGCTGCTGTGGTTGTTGCTGCTGTGATTGTTGCTGCTGTGGTTGTTGTTGCTG